GGACTGATTGGTTCACTCCCCAAATGCCTGCAACAGCCAGGGCTGGGCCAGGCCAAAGCCAGGAGCCAGGAACTCCATCTGCGTCTCCCATGTGCGTGGCAGGGGCCCACGTCCTTGTGTCATCACCTGCCACCTTCCCAGGCGCTTTGGCAGGGAGAGGGATGGGAAGTGGAGAAGCCAGGACTTGAACCGGCCTTTTGCTCTGGGATGCAGGTTTTCCAAGCAGTGGCTTCACCAAGGCACCTGCTGTTTCTAACAATGACGCTGTGCATGCCCCAGCACTTGGCACCACACAGCGCAAGTGAACAGCATCGACTGCCTGCTTTCCGTGATGATCGACCGCACGAAGGCCTAGCAACTGTCTTTCCGCCACTTACCATTGCATAGCTGCCTGCACCCCTGCCACACTCGGCCTGCCTTGCTCTGTCTCCGCTCGCACGGGACAGCCTACGTAGACTGATCCTCGATCAAGTCTGTGAGTTCTTCCATCTTGTCTGTGTCACCTGCCCCGGGGGCTTGAGATTCAACGGACTTACTCTTCGTATGACACGGTTTACGTAACACGCCAGAAAAAACGCCACTTCCCGTCCTTCCACATACCTCCTATGATTCCTCTAGCCTGCTCCTCAGATTTCTTCTCTAGCTTCAGGTCTGCGAAATCGTAACCGTGTCCATCTGTTTCAAACAATGGAAGGTGTGGGTTTGTTCATCAAAAGCAGCTCTCTTGTCAACAGCTTTGTCAACCTGTGCAACTGTGAGTGCAAAGAAATACAAAGAAGAAGATAGGGAGGAGCGTTTGGTGTTTGCCCTCGCTGGGGGCACCAACATCCCAGACCCAGCGTGCCTGGTTTGAGTCACGGCTCCCCTCCCGATTCTAGCTCCCTCTGAACGCACACCGGGAAGCAGGCAGGTGATGGCTCAAGTCCTGCGTTTCTGCCACCTATGTGGCAGGCCTAGATGGAGCTCCAGGCTCCTGGCTTCAGCCCAACACAGCCATGGCCACTGTGGTCATTTGGGGAGTGAACCAGCAGGTAGAAGATCTCTTTCCTCTCTACTCCTTCTCTTTCTCTGTCTCTCACCCACTCTCTTTCTCTCCCTCTCCCTCTCTGTAACTCTGCCTTTCAAATAAGTAAAATGAATATTTTTTTAAATCATGTAGTACACAATAAATGCAATTAAAAAAATTAATTGGGGTCATGGACAATACCTTGAAGAGAAATGCTCAGTCTAAACATGGTGATCTGTTCCTATACACTGGCATTACTTTCTGAATTAGAAGAAATTATAAGAGTAAATAAATATTATACAAGGCCCAAACACATTTTTTACATATAGTGTTTGCTAAAAAGCCAAACAAGAAAGGGTTTATGGGTGATCAGCATTTTGGCGTGGTAATGAGGTTAGGTCTAACTTTTTAAAATTAATATTTATTTATTTATTTGAAAGGCAGCATTACAGAAAGAGAAGGAGACAACGATTGAGAAGTCTCCCATCGCTGATTCACTCCCCCGCTAGCCACAACAGCCAGAGCTGGGCCAGTGTGAAGCCAGGAGCCAGGAGCTTCTTCTGGTCTCCCACAGGGGGTGTAGAGGCTCAAGGACTTAGGGTCATCTTCCACTGCTTTCCCAGGCCACAGCAGAGAGCTGGATCGGTAGAGGAGCAGCCGGGACTCAAACTGGCACCTATACGAGATGCTGGCACTGCAGGCAATGGCTTAACCTACTACAGCACAGAGCTGGCCCCTCGGTCTAACTACTGCTACAAGTAGTGGCTTAGAGGGTGTCAGAAAGGATGATTTTTTCTGAAAGGAAGAAGTAATTTTCACTGAATTGTAAGGGCTTGGCTGCTTCCGACCTTTCTAGAAGCCGCATTCCCGTGGCACACCGTCTGGGTGAGCTAAGGGTGGGGAGACCTCTGGGGTGCTGTAGCTGGGGATGCTGGGCTGCCCCGGCTCCATCCGAGACTAAGAGGCGCACGGGAAGACAGGGGGCGCTCTCGAGTCAGAGCGGCTTTCTCAGACGCCAGGTCTCCCCGGCACTGACCAGTGACTGCCCTCCAAGGGCTCATGCACACATGGCCTAAACCCACCTGTAGCCACTGTGCTAGAAGCTTCAAGAGAAACGTTCCCCTGTTTGCAAGGCACAGAAACAGAGCTCCTTCGCCTGCAGCTCCACCCAGATCTCCTACCTGTGTGGCAGGAGCCCAGCTAGCGGAGCTTCCCGGGCCGCCTCCCAGAGTGACTCAGCACTCAGAGCAGGACATCGCTCCCAGGAACGCCCGTAGGACACAGACATCTGCACGCCACGCCAGGGTCCACCAGAAGAGAGAGAATGCTAATGGTGCTTAACTTAAAAAATAAACCAAAATATTAAACTATAAATCGCATGCTCTTGGCCGGCGCCGCGGCTCAGTAGCCTAATCCTCCGCCTTGCAGCGCCAGCCCAGTTGGGGCGCCGGATTCTGTCCCGGTTGCCCCTCTTCCAGGCCAGCTCTCTGCTGTGGCCAAGGAGTGCAGTGGAGGATGGCCCAAGTGCTTGGGCCCTGCACCCCATGGAGACCAGGAGAAGCAGCCTGGCTCCTGCCATCGGATCAGCGCGGTGTGCCGACCGTGGTGGCCATTGGAGGGTGAACCAATGGAAAAGGAAGACCTTTCTCTCTGTCTCTCTCTCTCTCACTGTCCACTCTGCCTGTCACAAAAACAAAAACAAAATTGCATGCTCTTACAAAAATTTACATGTTGCAAATTATATGTATGTATATATATGTATATATATATGTGTGTGTGTGTATATATATATATACTTGCAAAGCCGAGAGAGGCAGAAAGGGACAGACATCTTCCAGTTATGGGTCGTTCTCTAAATGCCTGCAGCACCTGGGGCTGGGCCAGGCTGAATCTAGGAGCCCGAAATCAATCCTGGTCTCCGACATGAGTGGCAGGGACGCAGTCACTCAGGCCCATCACTAGCTTTTTCACTACACAGCAGCAGGAGTGGGACTCAGAGTGGAGCTGAGACTTGAACCCGGCACCGGGATGCAGGATGCAGGTGTCTCAAGTGGTGGCCAACGGCTGCCCAATTAAAACAACTCAGTGAGAAGAATGGCCCTGGGCTCACATTTTTGCCAGTCAGTATCAGTAAATATTTGGCTTAACAGAAAGTAACTGGATTTTCCATGACTGAAGCATACGAAGAAACCCAGGACTTAGAGGGAGAATTTGTTTTTGAATACTATGGGCATTCTTTTTCGATGGTAGTTTCTATGTTAGTTGCAGTAATGAATATGAAGCCCTATTAGTGAACTCTGTTATTTTATATTATTTTATATTTGTTATTTGTATTAATTTATGTGTGCCTATAAATGCACATATACAAGGAGTCATCAAAAAGTTCATGGCAGGGACCAGTGCTTGGTGTTCTGAGTAAGCCGCTCCCTGCGGCTCCAGCACCCATATGGGTGCTGGTTCGAGTCCCAGCTGCTCTACTTCCAATCCAGCTCTCTGCAATGCCTCGGAAAGCAGTGGAAGATGGGCCAACTGCTTGGGCCCCTGCGCCCATGTGGGAGTCCTGGGAGAAGCTCCTGGCTCCTGGCTCCAGACTGGCAGAGTTTAGGCTGTTGCAACAGTGAACCAGTGGATGGAAGATTCCCCCCCTGTCCCATAACTCTGCCTTTCAAACAAATAAATAAATCTTTTTAAAATAGTTTATGGAAAATACATACATACAGATCTCAAAAAATTTTGCACCAAAAGAAAATTATTTTTTCCACAAATTTTCTGAAGTACCCTCCCATATCCATTCATTGGTCTCTCTCTCTCTTTTTTTTTTTTTTTGAGATTTATTTCTTTACTTGAAAAGCAGGGTTGCAAAGAGAAGGAGAGACAGAGGGAGAAAATCTTTCCACCCACTGGTTCACTCCCCAAATGGCCACAATGGCTGGGCCTGGGAGCCTGGAGCTCCATCCAGGTCTCCCACGCGGGGCGCAGGGCCCAAGCACTTGGGCCGTCGTCCACTGCTTTCCCAGGTGCATTAGCAGGGAGCCGGATACAGGATGCTGGTGCTGCTGGCAGCAGCTCACCCATGACGCTGGCCCGGTGGTCCATCTGGTATCCAGCGACGTTTGATTTGGTCACCTCCTGCCTGGCTGTTTGGAAAACACCAGTGCACCGAGTCCTGCAGACCTTCCACGGGGCTCGTATTCCATCACACAACATGCAAAAGTCAGCACGTGTGTTTCTAGCACGACAGACTCATCAGGGAAGCTGTCAAACCCAACATGGCGAGTTCACAGGAGAGCTGGACTTTGTCCCTGGCGAGGAACCCCGAGGGCCGCCTGCCGCAGCAGCCTGGCCTCCGTCCCTCGGGGGGGGGGACACAGCTGCAGATGCCCCCGTCAGATGACATTCGCGCGTCTGCAGCGACCCGAAAGGAAGCAGCAGTTTCTGCTCGCAGGGGGCGGGAGTCCCCCCAGCACAGGCGGCCCCCTGGGCACGCGGCAGAAGCGCCCACCGCCTCGGTCCTCGACACAGCTCCAGGAAGGGGCGCACGCGAGGGTCCACGCTGCTTTTTAAAAAAATGAATTATTTATCCGAAAGAGTTAACAGGGAGAGAGAGGAAGACACAGGAAGGAGGAGACAGGGAGACATGGGGGGGAGACAGAGAGAGAGAGAGAGACAGACAGACAGACAGACAGACGGGTCTTCCACCTGCTGGTCCACTCCCCGACGGCTGGGGTGAGCCAGGAGCAGCCGACAAGGACCTGCACCTGCGTGGGAGACCCGGAAGGAGCTCCTGGCTTCAGCCTGGTCCAGCTCTGGCCGTTGGGGCCATCTGGGGAGTGAACCAGCAGATGGGAGACCTCTCTCTGTCACTGTGCCTCCCAAATAAATCATATTTTTTATAAAAAAAAAAAAAAGAGGGAGGCAGAGTGAGCGCGACAAGCGCCGGCGTCCCGCCCACCATGGCTCTCGGGGCGTCCAGGGCAGGGGCGGGAGCGCTGGGCGCAGGTGCCGGGCGCAGGTCCGTCCCGCGCGTGGGGGCCGCCGGCGACTTTTGTCCCCGCGCGGCTGTGCGTGGAGGAGTCGCGGATGGAGGCGCCCGCGCTTTCGGGGTTCCGCGACCGGGCCCGACGGGGCTGGGGACGGTGACCGCGGGCAGGGGCGGGGTGGAGGCCGCGTGCGAGCAAAACGCGCTGACAGCCCACCCACACGCGCGGGTCCGTCACGCGCGGCTCTCGCAGCACTCACGCCGCAGCTCGGGCTCCGCGGCCTTCGCGCCCGCGCCAGGCTGGTCCCCCGCGCTTGCCGTACCGCGGGCCGTACCATCGCTCCCGCGAGGGGGGTTCGGGAGCAGCGGAAGAAGGCGGCCGCAGGGCGTGTGTGAGTGTAGGGGGCGAAGCCGGGCGCCCCGGAGGACGCGCGTTCCGCCGATCCCGCCGCCGGCCCGGCCTTCTCCCCACCGCCCCCGGCCCGCCCGGCAGCGGCGGCGGCGGCGGCCTCGGGCTTCGCTGCGTTTCCCGGCCGCGGCAGGTGAGCGGCGGCGCGCGGGCTCCCGGGCTCGGCTCCCCACCCCCGCCCTCGGGCGCCGGTGGCGGCGGCCGGCCGGGGAGGCGGCCTGGGCGCCCAGTAATGGCAGCGCGGTGAGCGGGGGGCGCGAGCTGACAGCCGCCGCCGCCGCCCGCGTCCTCGCCGGGGCTCCGTCCCGCCGGCGGCCCCGGCGCCGCGCCCTGCGTGTGCAGACGGGAGCTGCCGGCGCCGGGACGCCTCCCCTGCCGGTAACCGGGCGGCGGCGGGGAGTTGGGGGGCGGGTGGGGCTCGCGCGGGGAGGGGGCGGCCTGGCCGGGACCGCGGCGCCCGGGCGCGCTGGCCGTGGCGGGGCCGTGGCGGGGCCTCGGCGGCGGGCCTCGGCCCCCGGAGCGGCGGCCCGGTGCTCCCCGGGAGCGGGAGGCCGGCGTGCGCGCGGCCCGCGCGGCTCCCGGGGGGCGCCTCAGCCGGGCCTGCTGCCGGGGTCTGGGGGAGAAGCCCCGCGGGTCCGGCCCGCCGCACCTGCTGCTCGCCCCGCGCGGGGACGCGTGCGAGGGGCACGGGCTCGCCTCCGCGGGCTGTGGGGGCTCTTCCCGCGGGCCCGCCCGGCGCAGCGCCCCGACCCCCGACTGCGCAGCGGGCGCGGGGGAGCAGCCGGAGTCCGTGGAGTGTTTCTGAGGGCACGGACACGAGTGGCTCCGCCTGGCCTCCCCTGCCCCCTCCAGGGCTCCGCAGCCCTCCCGGAGGGGTGCACGGTGACTGCACCCGGGTTCTGAGGTACCCCCACTTTTCCCTTTTCTTTTCAGGTGCTGTTTCTTGGTAGCAACACGTCTGTACCGTGCCTGCACATAATGTGTGAAAAATACCCTTTCTGGTCCTGTTTGAGTATTTAGGGGTTCCCATGCACCCGGAACACCACTCTGCAGGCTCTGGTCGCTTTCATTGCTTTATTAGTGGGAGTAGACTGAATCTCGCTCTCTCTCTCTCTCTCTCTATATATATATATACTTTTTTTTTTCTTACCCTTGCCAGTGGGTCGCTAATCAGACATCCTGGACCTAATTTGAAGTGAATTTTGCCTTCAGTACAGGTAACGAAGGTAACACCGGGTTAGTGCTGCTGGGCGATGGGCTCGTTGGGGGTCGTGCGGCGGGCTGGAGGCCCGAGGTGTGCGGCCTCCCGGCTGGACAGAGTCGGCCTAAGGCAGGGTGAGAGCAGCCCCAGGAGTGGAGGAGGAGTGGCCGCAGCTGCTGGGCAGCGGAGGCCTCGCTAAGGGGACGTCTGACCGGGGCCTGAGAAGGACCTGGCAGCGGCCCCTCTGTGCTCCGGGGAGGAGTGGCCCTGGAAACCGCTCCAGGCCCGCGGCCCCCGTGGGAGCCTCAGCAGCATCGGACGGGGACACCGATTTGGGTGCCGGCTGCTCCACTTGTGATCCAGCTCCCTGCTGGTGGCGCCTGGCTGGGCAGCGGTGGATGGCCCAAGTGCTTAGGCCCCGGCACCCACGTGGGAGGCCGGAATGGGGTTCCTGACTCCTGGCTTTGGCCTGGCCCAGCCCTGCCTGTTGTGGCCACTGGGGAGTGAACCAACCAGCGCTGGGAGATTCTCTCTGTCCCTCTCTCCCCCTCCCTCCCCCTCCCTCCCCCTCCCTCCTCTCCCTCCCTCTCCCTCCCTTTCCCTCCCTTTCCCTCCCTCTCTCTCCCTCTCTGTCTCTCACTCTGCATTTGGAACAAATGAATAAAAATGTTTAGGTCATAGCCAGAGGGCAGGTCATGTGAGTCCTTATCTCACTGTCAAGGAGTTTGGCTTTTATTGTTAAAGCACACCAAAGAGCTGTTGAAACTTTTTATTTTTACTTTTAAGATTTGCTGATTTGGGGCTGGCAAAGCAGCCGCCTGCAGTGCTGGTATCTCTCACGGGTGCCGGTTCAAATCCCGGCTTCTCCACTTGTGACCCAGCTCTCTGCTACAGCCTGGGAAAGCAGTAGAAGATGGCCCAAGCCCTTGGGCCCCTGCACCCACGTGGGAGACCCGGAATAAGCTCCTGGCTCCTGGCTTCGGATCAGCACAGCTCCGGTGTTGTGGCCAATTGGAGAGTGAACCAGCAGATGGAAGATCTCTCTCTCTCTCTCTCTCTCTCTCTCTCTCTCTCTGTAACTCTTTCAAATAAATAAATAAATCTTAAAAAAATTTTACTGATTTATTTGGAAGCAAGAGTTACTGAGAGAGATCTTCCCTCTGCTAATTCACTCCTCAAATGGCCGCACAAGCCAGGGCTGGGCCAGGCCAAAGCTGGGAGCACAGAACCCCTCCAGGGCTCCCACGTGGGTGGCAGGGGCCCAAGCCCTTGGACCATCCTCCACTGCCTCCCAGGACATGAACCAGCAGCGCCCATATGGGATGCCGGCCTTGCAAGGGGCTGTTTAACCCGCTGAGCCACAGCGCTGGCCCCAGAACTTTTTAAAAAGCTGGGCTGACGGGAGATTGGAGAAGGGCAGAGAAGCAGTGGAAGGGCGTGGCCGGAGAGTGTTGAGAGACTAGCGCAAAGGTTCCGAGATTGGCGAAGACGCACTGGAATTGCGGTTTGCAGGAGGGTGCGGTGGGGACAGAGGTGGTTTCCGGGTCTTTGGCTTCAGCGGAAGGATGGGGATGCAGGGATGGGGAAGAGCCGAGGGAAGCCGCTTGGTAGGTGGGGTGGAGTTGGAGCGCCTGTGCCGCCTGGGCCTAGCTGGGCAGGTGGAGGTGAGACGCGGGCAGCTGCAGACCAGGCGGCGTGCACCCAGTAGTGAGAGACAGACCTGGAGCTCCTGGAGCTGAGTTCTGATGCAGAGAGCGGGGTGGGGCAGGGCCATCAGCATGAGCCTGTGGGAGTGCTTCTGTTTTGAATAAAAGCTGTGTTCTTGTGGCTGAAAGTGTAAACTGTGCACAAGCGTGTAGAGTTCAACTCTGCCTCCACTTGTCCCCGTCAGTCAGTTTTCCTTGGAGCTGGTCAGTGTTGGCTGTTTCTTGGATATCCTTCCAAAGATATATTTTGTGCACCTGTAAGCAAGTAGTGCGTGTATTACTGGCCCCTGTGTCACGTGCTTTGACACCCGGTGGCCTTGTGGAGTCCTAAATAGTATTTAAAACTCATGAGATGGGGTGAGCACAGCCGAAGGGCTGAGGAAAGGAAAGAACCGAGGGACACTGGCGAGGACACCTTCTGGGAGCTTGTGAGTGCAGATGGCGGTTGTCTGCAGAGCTGGTTCCGTTCGGGAGACTTTTAGGGAAGTTTGCACTGCTTCTGCCGTGTCCCCCTTACCTGCCGAGGCCCCATGTGTCCTGCAATGTGGTGATGAAGAGCAGTGTTTCTGGGTCTGGACTGTTCAGTTCAGTTTCTGTAAATTGATGACAGGGTCATCCCTTAAATCCTAACATCATGAGTGTGCAAGACGGGCTAGTGTTACCTGCTGGGAAAAAGCAGAAATTGGACTGTCACCCTGGGTCGGACAGCACGTCCCTGAGACTTACATGTGACTGAAGGCTCCTGTCAGCAGGGTGGCCCTAGAGGATGGCTGCGGCGTGTCTGCTGGGCTGGGGCCTGAACAGCCATGTGTCTGTTCCACTGCAGATGGGAGTCGTTTGTGTGGCCGAGGCCGGCGGTGGACTCGCCCCGGACACTGCTTTGTGTGCGGCTTGCCCTGGGGAAGCCTTGCTGGCACTGTTAGCCGTGTGGTTCCTCTGGTCCTCCGGAGTTCTGAGACAGCGAGTGGTGTCTCCAGGTTATGTCAGCTCTGCAAGGACTTTGGCCTGTGATGGAACCCTGTCTTTTTTGGAGTCTGTTTTCTCTAAGTTGCTTTAATATTGAAGAAGTAAAAACACTGATGTTGTGTTTCCTGCTGAGTTTATAATCCTTCTGTATTGGTTGACATTTTAACTTTGAGTTAGCTATCTTTAGCCAGGTACTTCTTTTTATATACATATATATAATATAAGTTTTATTTTTGTCTGTTTATTTGGAAGGGAGAGTTAGAGAGGGAGAAACAGAGCGAACTTCCATCTGCTGATTCAACTTCCCAAATGGCCTCAAAGGCTGGGGCTGGACCTGGCGGAAGCCAGGAGCCTGGAGCTCCATGTGGGTCTCCCACTGGGGCCGTCTTCTGCTGTTCTCCCAGGTGCATTCGCAGGGAGCTGGATCAGAAGTGCAGCAGCCAGGACTCGAACCAGCACTCACATGGGATGCTGACGCTGCACGTGGTGGCTCAACCTGCTGTGCCACGGCACTAGTCCTGGTCAGGTACTTAGTGTGTAAATTGATCCACCTGTTTTTTGAGATTGTTCCCGATTCAAGAAATGCTTTGTTCAGTGTGATTTTGTTACTTTTAGCGTTACCTTTCTTTTGTTCTGAGAGTAGAGCAAGCAGCTGGTTTCTGAGTCGGAGAAGTAGTCGGATAGAAAATGCCTGATGGTACTTCCTGCAGCAGTAGACACAGTTACCCCACACTCACGCAGACTACCATGGAAACTGTGTAGTGTCAAGCTCCGTAGCCTGTTCGTGCACTGCTGTATCAGAGGAGTTTCTCTTACATACTCGTAGCGTTGTATGGTGTTACGGGGTCACTGCTGTTACTCAGTCATTGCATGTGGCCTAATTACGTGTGCCAGGATTTTCACTGCTCAGGCTGACCGTGATTTTTCTTTGTCTTATCAGCAGTAAGCTTCTTGAAGGCAGATCTCCATCAGCTGGTAGAGGCTTGGCCTGTGCAGTAAGCGTTGGTCAGGCGTCTCTGAGTCAGGTTTGACTTCATTGTAACCTTCAGTTTCCAAGGTGGAGAGCTCAGACTTGCCCCTCATTGGGCTGCTCCCTGCGTTGGCAGCTCCGTGCGGGGTGGCGTGACCCAGGAGGCTCACGCTGGTCCTAGACCGCATTTCTCCAGTTCTCCACCGATGACCTCTGTCTGTGTCCAGAATCAGGCCAGGGTCAGACGTGGCATCTGTCCTAACAGTTTGTTTCCTTCTTCAGGACCTCCA